TACTATATATATACTATACTATACTATATATATATGTGTGTGTGTGTATATATATATATGTGTGTGTGTGTGTGTGTGTGTGTTCCTTAATTTGTTTTTGTAGTGGCAGTGTGTATACTGTTCATATGCATTTTATATCCATTCTAAGCTTCACCTGGATAATGACCTGGCTGCCAAGTTCAAGTCAATAGATTCGTGCTAAACCCAACTCAAACTAAATATGACCGCAGTTCACGTCCGCGATGAAAGTCGCCGGCGAATACATGAACAAGGCCGGTCACGAATCCTCCAAGTATATAAACAGAGCGCGTCAGCTGGCCGAGGAAGAGATCAACAACCTGCCTAAGACTGGTAGGTCTGATTAAGTTCATTGCAGCTGTTTGCAATAATGCAGCTATTGATTTAATTAAGTACTACGTAAGCACACATTTGCCATGCTGCGATCGTGTTTACACTGATACCTGTGTGTGTATTATTTTGAGGCGTAGTTTTCGAGACCTGAGATCAGTATTGTGCTCAACTTGTCCTGCCTGAGTGCGAGGTCTATAGGAGAAATTTGGTTTTAGAAAAAAATGGACTGCCTACCTAATATATATATTTATATATTGTATAAATGAAGTCTCGTCTCAACAGGTATTCCTTCTGATTATTCCATACTTGCCTACCGCTTCGGTGTTTGCCTATTGCTGATCCAGCCCATGAATGACATGTGTACGATGGCATATATCAAAAACATTAGGACGCGTCCATGTTTGAAAAGTATATATAATTTATATTATTTATCTTGATTTGTTTCCAATTTCGAATTCGGCTCATTCTTGCGCAGGTTTGGGAGACCTCTCAGAGGAACTAGCACAGCAGCACATCGTCAAGAAGCAATCCGAAAACTTGCTTAAAACGGTGTGTCTCTGTTGTGCATGTGCATAATATATATATATATATATTGTGTCTGTGTGTCTGTGTGTGTAAAGGATGCAGTTTCTGTCCATTTTTCGCATACAGCAGTTAGAATATTGATGTGCATATTTAACCACTCAGTACCGTAGCCGCATACGACTAAGAAGGATTAGTATTTAATCATCATATGTGACGATCGTATCGCACCTGGCTGGTGGTGTTCACTCAATAACCTGGAGTCTGATGCGATTGGTTCCGAACATTCACGTTTTCTAGCAAGAGTTTATATCTACAGATATATGCAATTTCAAATTGCCGAGTTATGTGCACAATCAGATTACTGGATTGTGTTCCGAGAATTCCGCATTCGTACTGAAACTGTGTGCGGCATACCATTGTAAGTCTCATATATGGGCAGAAGATATTCGTATATGCATACTTGATACTAGTTGTAATTCCTACTGTAGAACGCGATGCTTGCGCGTGTTACGCGTCTCTGGCGTGCTCGTATCTAAGCTGCCACCGAGACCAGGAGTTATCGTATGTATGTCTATGGGTTGTATATATAGGCGAAGCGCCTATAGCAGAAGGGCCAGTCCCTGCTAGTCATGGCAACGATTCCTGTCACAATAGGGGTACTCTACTTTGTCAACACCTGGAGCTAGCCATCAACCTCTCTGGTGGCTGTTGCCAAATTGTTCAATTTTATAATACTATACAACCCCACTATGGCATATAGATGACCAGTGGATGTATGCTAGGATGTACCTGTATCCTCATGAAATGTGTTCCTTGTTTTGTATAAATATAATCATATGCTAGGTCGAGAAACTCGCCGATCCCGAGCCTGGACTAGTTATGCCGGATGTTAAGCCCACCATCGCCAGCGTCACAAAGATGATCTCTGCATTCAACATCCCTGGAGTGCCCAAGAATACCGCTCCCCCTCCTGAGCCTGTAGCACCGCCCAAGCCTACTTCTAGGTAAGCGATGATAAGACCGCGTATGGGGGCATTCCGGGGACATGACTATATCTATTATCTGTTTGCATGTGTGTACTATTGAGTATCTTCACCTCAGATGACTCAGATAGGAGATGTCTTCTCCTTAATCCGAACCCTCCCATCCGATTTCTCTCGCAACAAATTGCTCCAGATTGGAGGTGTTGCCCTCGAGACTTCTTTCGAGTTATATTTCACTTTTACAACTGCACTTCTTTAAGTTGTAACCTCTTCTTAAAGTTGAACATCAAGTACTCTCTTTCATCAGAATGCACAAGGTTGGAGATGCATTCCTAAACGCCTCCGCTGAGTATGGCTCACTCTCCAACTTCGCAACTGTGTTAAAGTCAATCGGGACTGCCGAAACTGAGATTGGTGTGGCCTCTCTCGCATTCAAACAGCAAGTCAATGACGACTTCATCCAACCGTGGTCCAATGTGCTCAATACGGTGAGTGTGGTTGGTGTCGGTATTGTTAGATACTATTATGGGAATGGTATACATGCACGGATATGGTTGTGCTTCCTCTCTATTATATATATATATATATATATATATATATATATACATAATATATATAATATATTGTGGGTGTGAGTGTGAGTGCGAGTGTATTTGGACAGTTTTGCACGATGCCTGAAGCCACATGTAGAGCTCGGCCGGACACGGGTAGTGTAGAAACTCGAAATGTAATCACAAAGAGGTTTGCTTGTCGAGTTTCTACTTTAGCTGTGCGCATTGACTGCTCGGAAATTAATTCAAAAATATATACCAATTTTAAAAATAGAACTGCTGGGTGTATCATAATGGGTACTTGTCTTATAGGATATGAAGGATCTGGCTGCTAAAGAGAACGATCTCAACTATGCGCGTCTGGACCTAGATAGTGCCAAGCGACGCCATCGCAACGCTAGTGATCCCACGAAGTTAGCTGAGGCAGAGGCCGATCTCAGGCATGTTTTATTTATATTTATACTTATATATATATATATATATACGCTATATACTTACGTCGCTCGAATCATTGTGGGTGTGACTAGCACTGAACATCATCGGCCCTTCCCTGAGCGAAAGAGCAAGAGTGTATATGTTTGCGACACCTTTCCAGCCTCATCACGCTAGTAATGAGTCACAACTCCACCCCCTGCTGTTCTCCTCTCTTCTATTTTATTACTCTCAGTACATCCATTCAATCTTGCTTGCTGTACTGGGTACCTCCCCACATTGAAAATTGTCTCAATTTATAATGCTGATTCCCGGCTGTTACCGATACAATATACACAGACGTGCACAAATCGAGTTTGATCGACACTACGATTCGCTGCAATCCGCACTTGAGAGGCTGGACCGCGTGCAGATGGAACAGACCATCATGTTGAGACAAGCCATCGAGCACCAGCTCGCATACCACAACAAGGTATATATATATGTGTGTGTTTGACACGTGTTTTTATGTCTGTATTTTGATTGGTATTGTAGGAGTACAAGCTTATATGAGACCGTGCTCTGAGATACAATCTGATGGGCTATATCATTATGTACAGAACCTTACTCAACTATTAATTCGTCCTTCTTCAGGCCGGCCTCGTGCTGGAGGCTCTGCTCGCCAACATGCCCACACCCGAGGACGTGGAGATGGACAATGTTAGAACACACCCCAACAACGCACAGATGCAGATGCCTGAGTAGAGGAACGTGGCACGTGCATGTGTATACATACGTGTACGTATGCATATCCACACGCACATATGAGTACAAACAAACACGCACACACACGCGCACTTGCGCACTTGCGCACGTGAAACGCGAGCCTGGAGGAGAGCTGACTATTCTCGAGACCGGCTGCCTGGGGTCAAATTGATTCCGAATAAAAAAATCAGTATTAAACACTGATGAACATTGAGGAGTAACTTTGAGTACTGTTTCATATTGAGGATATAAATTAAAAAAGCACCGATGAACAACGAGGATTGTTACTTTATCTGTACTGATTTACACTTATATATATTTATATATATATACAAAGCACGTTTGAGCCGCGAAGGTTCGGATATGACATTCGGAGCAGTTGTGTGTACTAGTATGTATGTACCTATTCGGTATCGTACATACACCTATCTGTGTATGTATCTTTCTCCAGGTAAAATAAATCTGCGGGTATGTATTACCGCCGTGCTGGTCCTTCCTGTTTGGCCGTGTCAGTGTCTCGCGCATGACAATTCTAGTGAGTGCAATACTGGTGTAACTCGGCATTGTGACGCTTGCAAAGAAAGGAAGCTAAATGCTTCTGTGTGTATGCCTGAACGAGTGTGTTGCATGTATAGGTGTGTATGTATTTGGTATCGTACGTGTGTCTTTCTTCAGGTTGGGTAAGTGTGCTGGTATGTAATCATCGTGCTAGTCAATTTTGTTAGGCCGTGTCGGTACCGCGTATGGCATAGTCTAGAGATTCGATCAGTTGTTGCATGTCGGCCTTGTGAGGCTTACGAAGATGTTAATAAGCTTGATGCTTTTACGTATGTCTGAACGTATGTGTAGGTATGTATAAGAACATACAATGGGGTAATGGGTTGGTATATCTATTATCTACACAGTGCATGTTTCATCCCAAAGAAAGCATTTAGATGCCAGCTCGTATCATCTGACACTCGCCGAAGGAAAAAACGGCTATCACTTTCCGAAACGACAGAGATTCATCATATCAGATACGCAGGGTAAAGTATGGAGACCCTTGTAATAGAACCGACTCAGTCACACTGCCTAAGTAGACATACTCAGCTACTTATAAGTCATTGGTAAAGGTAGCAGAGCCCACATGAACCATCAGTATCAACCTACCCCTGTTGCCAATGAAACGAGACGATAAATCTAAAATACTCTGATCTCCTTGGTTGTGTTGACATTTGTACTATTATTTAAGCAAGAACCGGTAAGTACTCACATCGGCAACTACCCGCTTTGCCGATCACGCCGATAGCTGCATTGAGAACCCTTAAAGCCGGTGGCATCCAACAACTTCGATAGAATATGAATATTGCTGGAGTATGGGGAAAATATATCCACATTGCGAGCCTTGAATTTACTTGGCTTGTCTTGTAGGCGTATCGTACTTTTCGCTTCGGCATTTTCTGTGGCAATGGGTACCAGCATTGTCTCAAAACCAAGGGACGTGAAACAAAATGGCTTTTCAATACAAATGTACATACTTTTAGAAAAAGAGCATATGAAGAAAAAAATCCCTACCTTAAACCCTAAACCCTACCTGCCATTTCCATATTGAGTTTGATTGTCATTTTAGAGGGCTATGGTATATAGATCGATCAGATAGATCAGTCAGTCGTTCGATTGGTATCAAATCGCTGAATCTGAAATGTAAAACTGGGGCTAAACTAAATACATGAAGAACAATATGTAAAGTCATGTATACAATCTGTAGCTAGATTAGACTATATATATATATATATATATATATATATATA